TGTCATTTTATAGGGACTACCTGGTAGCCACGGATGACACCGTTGTGGTTTTCAGCAGGTGGTGGAGCCCAAGTCACAAGGACGCTGCTGTTGCCAGGTTTTAGGGTCACTTCTTGAGGTGGGGCACTGGGAGCTGGAGAAAAGGAAGAGATTGTTAGAAATGTGAAAAGAGAGGATTCTGTGGGAGGGTCAAGAGAGGGGTTGGGGGATGGAGAGTCAGAGTTCCACAAGGGACTTCTTACAGCTGTTTGCTTTGCCATGCAGAAAAGTGCGTCCAGACCGGACTGGGAAAGATAAGGAACCCCCCTCCACACACACACATCAATCAAGATCCTTCCCTGACCTTGTTCTGGCAGCCTCAGGAGCAACACATTGCTGTCCGGGCCTCGAGCCCGACCGGTGGATGGTCTCACTTTGAATTCGTAGTCTTGGCCCCAGAGAAGGCCTCCAAGCTTTGCACTCCGAGAGCCACGCAGCAGCACCTCTGTCCATGGAGATGCTTGGTCCCTGGGGTCCCTCTGGGTCCTGAACAGGGCTGTGTATGACTCAGCAGGTGCAGCAGGGCCACTCACCTGGGAAGAAGTTAGAGTAAGGATAAGGGCTTGGGGAGTCCATGACAGCCCTCATCTGAACTCTGGATGGGCTCTCACTTCCTGGGCAGAGGCCTCTGCCTCACCTTCCAGCTGAGCCACACAGCTGGTCCAGGCTTGGGGCCTTTCACAGGTTCCGGGTTCAACAGGGTCACGTTTTCTAGCTGAATCCGAACAGCCAGAAGTTCCAGGTAGTCCTTGTGGTCCCGGGACTCTGAGGAACACAGGGGTAGGGTGGAGAAGTGGAGCATACCTTCATCATGGACGAACTTGTCTCCCAGAGTTTTCAGGTCTAGAGTACACCTCTGTCCACTCTAGCCTGGCACAGGGAGGCCTCGCCACTCGGACCACAATCCCAGCTGAGCCCTGTATACCAGAGCCTCCATACCTGGCCACCACACTCACTGGCGTCTCCTACCTTACCTTGAAATTTGTGGGCTTGTGTTCATGTGTGTGCATGTGGATGAGTATGAATATGGAAACCAAAAATTGACAATAGAGCCTTTATTGCTTGCCACCTTTCTTTCTTTCTTTCTTTCTTTCTTTCTTTCTTTCTTTCTTTCTTTTTCTTATTTCCTTTCCTTCTTTCTTTCTTTCTTTCTTTCTTTCTTTCTTTCTTTCTTTCCTTACTACTTTCCTTTCTCTTTCAAAAAGCCTGTTTCCCTCCCCTCT